CAATGATCAGGGTTGCACCTGTTTGGATTCGATCTCATCTCTTTTGGCCACCGTACCTTGTCATCCATGCTTCTCAAAACAGCTACGAGCTCGGAAGTGATCACATTGAAATTGTAACCGCCAAATCTCGCCTTCGAATTTCTATTATCATCACGTGACTCATGGGTGTTTCGATCATTCCTAAACCTTGATGAAGAGCCTGACTCTCTATTCCTTGATCTGTGATCATACCTTTGATTGTCATGTTTTGACCGTGAATCTTTTCCCGCAGGTCCCATGTATGGCTCGTACCTATTTTTACCGGACCTTTTTTCGGTTTCCGCCTGTCTCAAACTTACTTTTTCTTCTTTTTGGAATCGTGGAACAATATCTTCTTCTATCCTTAGCTTCGTGCTATATCTATTGTAAACGTCATTCCATGTTGTAGCTGGGAATTCATGAAAACTTTCCTTGAGTTGCCTCGTAGCTTCTGAGCTCTTTTCATTCAAATTACTTGTGAAAGCTATAGCTGCCCAATTATCAGGTACACGTGGTAATGTTATTCTTTCACGTTGGAATCTGTCCACAAACTCCCTAAGCAATTCTGAGTCCCCTTGCTTGATCTTGAAAATATCATCTATTCTTTTTTCGACTTTTTGAGCTCCCGAGTGTGCTTTGATGAAAGAATCTGCAAGATCAGTAAAATAATTTATAGAATTTTTGGGTAAAAGAGAATACCATGTTAATGCACCCTTGGTGAGTGTTTCACCAAATTTTTTGACTAATACTGATTCAATCTCCTGCTTGGTCAAGTCGTTGCCCTTTACGCCTGTTATGAATGCAGTCACGTGGTCTCGTGGGTCTGTTGTTCCATCGTATTTTGGAATATCAGGCATTTTGAATTTCTTTGAAATTGGGAGGGGAGCAGCACTTGACTTCCAGGGTTGTTGTTAATATTTATCCGTATCTATCCCTTTGATTACGGGTGGCACCCCGGGTATTTGCTCTATGCGGTCACTTTACTCGTTGAGCTGTTTCTACAATGTTAGTACTAAATTTTGTAAATCAGAATTGACTAAGTTACCTGGTTCTCCCTCCTATGATTCGCTGGGGGTTCCACCATTACCTGAATTAACAAGCCCGGAACGAGGGTTCTCCAAAGTGTTGTTGTTTGGAGTGGGTGTGGGTGGTGCAGCAGGTAATTGGCTAGCAAAAGCCTCAAGAGCTTTATTGACCTGTGCAGCAATTAGTTTCTGCAAAGCTTCATCGATAGCTTCAACATTTTCAAATTGAGTGTTTCCATTTGTATGAGATCCATTAGGAGAGCCTTCACGAGACCGCCGAGGAGAGCCTCGTGGAGAAGGCACCGAGGTTTGATTGCCCTGTGGATTTCCCTGAAGTTATTGGTTTCCTTGAATGTTGTCATTGTTGTTCGACATGGTTGATGCAACAAGGAAAGTTAAGCTAAAAGAGGATAAATTATCAGATTCCCGGTAACGAAACCAATTTGTTTAACCAAAAAATGGGATTTCAGTCAAAACTTTAATTTAGAAGAACTCAAGTTACTGATAATCAAAAGAATATATGAAAAAAAGTAATTTGGCTAGAAATAAGATAATCAGAAGAAAAGCAAGTAAATTGGTATATTCATATAGTATTTCGTGTCCCTACAATTGATCCGTTCTCTCCCTTTTATAGCTATTTTGGAGATATGCGTTTTATAGTAATAAGATAAGCATATTTGGTAGCAAAGGCAAAACTCCGCAATCACGAAATAAAGCTCTCCGCTCAAAGAAATCGCACCCAAAGTAAAGGGATACATATAAAAATATGTAAAATCTTCTCTAGGAAGGGTCACTCGTTGCAATAGATCAGGAACAATGATGTTCAACTTATGACAACGAGAGTCTTCCTTCACGGTAGGAATACTGGAAGGGCGAATTGAAAACGGATACCTACCGACAACCCATGAGCGAGGGTTAGCAGTAGAGAGTTTCTCTTCGACGTCTTTTGTGGTGTTAAGACTTCGGGGGATGATGGAACCTATCGTTGATGAAGCAGAATCCTCAGCCTTGTTCTTTTTCTTTAAAGAGCCAGAGCGTTTGGAAGAAGAATCCATTGAACAAGAAGAAGGAGAAAAGTTTTTGGTTCGTAGAAAATTAGGGAAAAGATGGAAAACAAAGATACAAGTTAGAAGTTTGAAAAATTATGAAGTGTATAGAAGAAGGCTGATGCGTATAAGTAAAATTTTGGCTGCTAAATTTATGGCCATGATTACCTCGATAATCGACAAAGGTTGTACTGAATCGTGGGATGACGCGTGTTCGGGGCATTAAATGCGGAAAGATGTACGTCTAATCAGCTGTCAGAAGCCCGCAAAGAGAATTATCCAAAAGGAGTATTTCTTCCAACTTTCCGGTAACACAAGATTGTGCCACCGGAAAGTAGGAGGACTATCTGTATAGGGAAAAATATGATATGACACATGGAACCCAAGACGGAGATGGTCACCGAACGCAGCTATTTCGCTTGTCACTGGGAGAGAATGTTCATAAAGATATATTAAATGATTTACGTCCGGTAGCATTTAATAAAGAATATTCTATTGTATTAAGAATGATAGCCCGTTACAAGGAATTTGACATTTATTTCCACCGTTACACTTTTATCAATGACCCTCATAATTGACATTAAAGGAGGGCACGATCCTATGACCTCCTTCCCAAAACATAGCTATAAATAGAGAGCTCAGTTATCATTATAAAGGACACGAACTTTCTGGCAAACTTAAACTAGATTCTATACAAAGCTTAATATCATTTATTTTCTTGCTTTTTGATCTGATAATTGTTGTGACCGAAAGTCTTGCTCCCGGAATCGTTATTTCTGCTATTTTATTTACATTCTGAGATTAAGTATCGTATTATTCTTCAATTACTTTATTATTTCTGAATCAAATTAGTTCACTTGTCTAGAAACTACTATAAATTCAACTGTACCATTTTACGGGTAAGCATGTGTGTTCATCCTTAAGCAATTTAAAGATAAAAAAAAACTAAAAAGACAAAAAAGATGTTTTTCATTTTGAAAATAATATTACGATAAAGCGTAAAGTAAACGATAACACCGCTCATAAAGTTCTCCTGTTAACCTAAAGCTTAGACCATATCAAACTCCAACAAAATAAACCTTCTAAAGATATATACATCAAATGCTATCCTTTTTTACTTAAAAAAAAAAAAATTAAAGTCAGCACAACAACTATTGAAGAACTAATATAATAAATGCGTACATATTACACATATCTTCACATAAGGGATGGAAGTCTTGGAATGTTACAAGGAGTTACCGAGAGAAATGAACTAATTTTTTTCGCGAAATTTTGTAAAAGAATTATGATTTGAATAATTTAAAAGAGAATTTGTCTAAGAATGAAACCTGAAAATATCGTAAAATGGAAGATATAGATTTTATATGTTGTAAAAGCATGAATTCGATTTTTTAGATTTAATTCTCTTCTAATAAATATAATATCACAAAATATTACAAAAATAAGTAGAGAACTAAAAGTTTTGTTCAGTGTTGTTCTTAATATTAAGAAAATTAATGTTTCTCAATGTTTATTTTGTATCTAAAAATAATATTTTCTCTCATTTTTCCTTAAGCGTATACCTTATTTTAAAAATAGAAAAAAATTTAAATACAAAAGAAGAGAAAGAGAACCCAAAGAAGGAAAGTATAAATATATTAAAAGGTATATATAAAACTATATATCTTGTATTGGTTTTTTATTTTTATTATTCTTGAAAACTACCTTATGTCATAATAACACAAAAATGTAATAAAAATACATAAACACAAGATGCTTGTAGTTCGTTTGTTTCTAAAATTAAATTGCTTAATTGTGATAGTATCATTTGTTGGTAAGATACAAGATATTATCCAATTAAGTCAAATTGGACAACAAGGTATACCCAAAGTCAATAACTAATATTCATTGTTGAATAAAACATATTTTATCTTTATTAATTATCATCTCTCATTTCCCTACATCAAGGTTTCGGACGGCGTCTCAAGTCTTCATATTGACCGACCATGATTCTAAGAAAGACTATGATGTATAACATGATGTTAAAGGTTCTGTACATTTGAATCTCATTAAGAAAATGAACAATAAAGCGAGAATTAATGATATTAGAGATGAGTAATTAACTTTGAAAATGTAATTATATGAAAGAATAATCGATCATGTTACTGTTGGAGAACATTCATTTTCCTTTTTCAGTAAGAGAACTTAGAATTATTTTGATTATACTTACTTCGCTATAGCATACATTAGATATTATTTGTAAAATACGAGAAGAAAATACCAACATACAAGTATTATATTATTTACTCAATTTTGATGATGACTTTTGAATTCTTTATGAATAATTTTAAGCCACTTATGTGATAACTAAAAGATTGATCTTTTTAATTATAAATTACAACATAGCTATTTAAACAAATTTTAATTACTTTTATGAACAAATTAACTAGTTTGGCAAATAAAGACAAAGAACAAATCAGAAAAAAGCGCGGGAAATGAAAACCAGTGACAATGAAGAGTACTTTACATAAACCCCACAACCCTTTTAAAAATGGAGAATAGGAAACGTCGCACTTCACCTTCCAAGCTCCGCTCTGCATCTTTGCGCAAAGTTTCTCAACACCCAAATATGGCGTTTTGGGGTTTGATTTTTTTTTTTTCCCATTTTGTGCTTTGTTTATTTTCCTCCCATCTGTTTGACTACATGATCGTGGATAGATAGGGAGAACTATATGGAAACTTTCTTTTATGTAAATGCATTTCTTTCATAATGGTAATGTTTGATCGTTTCTTGTCAAATGTCTGATTTGTTCTTTTAATTTCTTGTTTGCCACATAATTATGTGAAAGAAATGATTGGCTCAAACTTAATTTCTCTGTATATAGCAGAACGGTCCAATTTTTATGTTCAATTTGATTCCAAGATTTTGTATCTTCTCATAGAACCAGGGACCGTACACACTACAGTTGCATAATAATAAAGGGCGTGTTCGGATTTCACAGGTTTATTTACTTAACCGTCTTAATTATCAAATGAGTTTCTATCTCCTTTACTGGGTAATTGTTAAATTTAAAAAGGTGGTGGAATGAATTTGGATGACGATTGCAGGCGACACTAGGGGAGCGTAGTGGATTGTGGAAATCAAGATCGATAGTGCGATGTGCTATTGGCAGTCGGCCTCCAATTTCAATCTGCTCGTTGTGCAAGGAAATTCATTGTTGTCAGTTGGATCTTGAGTTCGAGGAGTTTGATGATGTTGTTTTCTCAGTTGTCGGTCCACGTGGAATCCACCTCGCCCGTTATTACCTCCCTTCCAAGGGAACCAGCAGTAAAAGTACTGGAACTGATGAACTTGGAGTGTATCCTTCATTCTTGAGTGTAGTTTTCGGTTGTATATTTTGGTAACATGACATGTCCTTATATTTCACTACACTATCCGAAAGAGAAAATTCAAAATTTGTCCTTCCATTTTAGCTTTTACTTTTGTGTTAATGGATTATTTTGATGCTTAATCATATACTGTCACTTTTCCTTTACTATTTCATTCTGGTCAAGAAGATATTAGCAATGCAGTATGTGAGAGATGATAATAGGCGCCAATGGATCAACAGCTTCGATGATGATGCAGGTGCGCGAAATGCTGTCATATCATATTTGCTGTCTGTTTTATAAGTTGTTGGAAATTAATAGTTGTATAAATTTGTAAATCTTACAAGTTGGCTGGGAAGGCTAAAAATGAGGCAGTAGTCTTTAGAAATGTCAGAAAATGGATATTTTTACGAGACATAGGTCTTTGTAATCTCCATGCGAAAGAGCTGATCACATATCTATTATAGGAACCATTAGTAGAGTGAGCTGATCCAGTATATTATTTTGATGATAGTAGTCTCATCACATATCTACTGTAGGAACCTTATAGGGAAAGCTGATCCAATATAGCTAATATGAACTTTCATCTTTCTTCAGTGTGACATGTGTGCGGATTATATTCGATGAACAAAACAACTTGTCTTCTTGCTTAAATAATTGTACAACAACTATGCATCAAAGCCAAGCTAGTAAACTTGACCTTGTAAAAAAAAATCCCAAACTAGTTATCTGTGCTTCATTAGTCAGTTTCAAAAGATGTTTTTTTCTAGGCAAAATAGGGCTTTTGCTTCCAGTTGACGGGAGAGGTTCAAGTTTTAATGATATAGCAACTGATTGCGGACTCAAAGAAGATACACCAAAGGCTATGAACAAAGGCAACTGTCCACTGGCTATAATTCCATGTCAGAAATCAATCACTGGAAAGTAAGCTTTTTTTATCTTTTCCTTTCAGGTGTTTCCCTTCTGACAGTATTATATAACTTGCTCATATCCTCATCCCTACAATTGTAAACTTTTCTTCAAGAAAATGCATTATCAAATAGAATTTAGTTTACTTGAAGAAAATGTACTGCCAGAGCAAGATATACCAGGATCAAGTATAATTTAAAACTCTGTTAAGGTAGTCTTGTTTGACTCCCTCTAATATTTATCCATAAATTGATATGTAAAAGGGAAAAGAAATGACTCGGAAAATCTGGTTCACATGATAAAAGAGCAAGAAAAGAATTAAAGAGAAAAAGGAAGTTATCCGGAAAATCTGGTTCACATAATTGGTTTCACTTGATGACTTGCCCTTTTGAATATGCAGAGATTCAAACAGAAGTCCCCAACCAGTAACTGAAATGTGCCATTCTCAGGAGAGAAAGAAAGAAAAGAAAAGGAAGATTGAAAACCAAGAAAACCGTCGTGACTCAAATATTTCGTCATTCAGTTGGAGATGGAAAATCGAAGCTCACTTGCAACTCCTAAGTAGATCAATTAGAGTGCCATGTCATCAGATACTTAAATTATCTGATGGAATGACATTGCCAAGGTTTGCTTTGCACAATAATCTTTGTGTTACACTACTCCTTTTGTCCTAATTTAAATTACTTGTATACATTGTAGCTAATATAGAATTTGATAATGGAATAGACTGGTTTCTGAAAATGGCTGCTTTATGTAGGCCTCATAACATGGTTGTTATAAGCTTTATTGGTGTCTGTTGTAGACTTAGACTAAACAAATAAATAAAGAAGTTCTATCTTTAGATTAGATGGTTCACTCAATTTATTTTTGTTTTCGGTCTCATAACTATTCATTAGTAGTAAATGTTTTGTATGCAGCAAAAGAAATAAAATATTTTTTGTATCTGGTGCAGAGAAAAGAATTAAGCCCATGTGTGAAGCAAAACAAACTGCAGACCTAAAATACATATGTGAATATGTTTCATGTTTGATAGTTGAAAATTTTAAATTAGGCTATAAATATTTGAAAAATATTTTGAGTATTTAATTTTATTGTACGATTGTACTTTTGTTGTTAAAAGCCTCTTCTGAGGCATGCTTAAGTTCTGACTTGCACTTGAATATGCAGAGCTCCAAACAAAAGTTTCGAACCAGTAACTGAAATGTGCCATTCTCAGGACAGAAAGAAAGAAAAGAAAAGGAAGATTGAGAACCAAGCAAATCGTTGTGACTCAAATATATCATCATCTCAATTGGAGATGGAAAATCAAAGCTCACTTGCAAATCCTAAGGAGATCACCAAGAGTGCCACATCACCACCACAGGTACTTACATTATCAGATGGAGTGACTTTTGAGGTGCTGGTGAAGGGAAAGCAAGATGGAAAAGTAGCTTCCACAAGAAAGCATAGGTGACTTGACTCTATTGATAATTCAGATAGAGGTGGTGCAAACACAATGCTAGTATCACTACTGAGTTATCATTGGTTCTAACATTGGTGAAGCTTCCCATAGATTCCGTCTAGGTCTCTCTCTCACTCTTTCTCTCTCTCTTTCTCACTCACACACACAGAGCGGCAGCCATAAAGTAGAGAATTTCCATCCATTTGTTGTCTCCTTCGCTACCGCTCCGTGGGGTCAACATTACGAAGCAAGACGAGATCACCACTTCTCTCAGTAATTGACTTTACTTCGTAAACTTAGCCTTAGATGTCCTTTCATAGATTCTCGAACCTACTTAAGCACAGTTCTTCTTATTCTTATTCTTTCTTAGTTGAAGTTCCTATATTGGTTTTTTCTTTCTTTTGTGAATGTTATAACTCCAAATTCTAGGAGTATATACAGTTTCGGTGGACTTTTTTAGGTCTTCCCATGATTTTCCAGAAAGTTCTCTTCATTCCTTTCCCTATACAAGTTGTGCCTCTTCATATTTATTTGCTGTCTTTGATCAGTTGACAAGAACATGATAAAGGGATTGAACATTGGCATTGAAGGTAATCATTTTTATGGACCGAAACTGTATCCTTGTATATATGAAGCGTTCTATTATACTGTCTCTTATTCGTCCCTAAACTAAGTCGTACAGGTATATATGCATGTTGGTGAAAAGAGAAGACTAACTGTTCCACCATCTTTGGGGTATATACAAATCCTTGCTGAAATGTACATCTTTTAAACTTGTTCGTTGTGATTCCAACGCTTAAAAAGTTTCTATGTTCGTGCCTTTTGTCGATGCAGCCTTGGGAAAAATGGTAGGCCTCCAGCCCCGCCAAATTCATGGCTCCAGTATGACATTGAATTGGTTGATATATGTGAATAGTAGAGATAATATACAGTTACTCCATTCATAAATCATTCAACAATGAAAACGATATTGCCGACCCTTGCTGAGGTAGTTATGTGAAGAGTTGTTTTACTATGTCTTTTAACTGCATTTTAGACAGTAAGCAAAGCAGCTCTCACCTCCAGTGATGATATTAGCTTTGATAACTGAAGGTTTTGTTTTTTTTGCCTCCTGGAAATGTTTATACCTGATTGCTAACTTTGCATACTGGCCTTGTTGAATTTTGCCGCGACATCAATCGTGACGTATCAGTTTTGTTAGTTTAAGTTTATTTAACATCAATCGTGACGTTAAACAACTTTTGTTTTGGACAAATTAAGAGTCGTAGGATTTTTATTGAGTGCACAAAAGACCAACTAATGCAAAATAATATATCAGACCCCCCAACTTGCCACTTTTTATTTAGGCAAAATACATAAGTTGCCACCTGACCTATGACCCAAATCCCCCTTACACACTTTCAGTGGACGATAATAATATTACACACGCAACCTTTCTAAAGTGTATCTAGTACACACCATCTTTTTGTTGACCAACTTTTCAAAATATGTGTAATATCACGCACCAATAATATCGTGACACGTGTCAAAACAGAAAGAAAATACAATAAAATACCTAATTTACACCATAATTAAAATTTCTTCTTTAAAAAAAGAAAAAATAAATAAAAAAGATCCCCCTTTCCTGCTTTTAGTAATTCCTTCCCCCCCCCCACCCCCTGGCCTAACCCACT